AACAAAATCGATCCTGTGAATTATATAAAATGGTGATGACCCTGTTAGTGAATCCATTTATCCGCCTTGTGCAAATATAAGCAAAAACCAAGCAAAAAAAGAAGTATAAACAAATTAGTTATAGAAATTTATCTAAAAAGTGTGAGAGCAAAGAAATAATTTTTAATCATTACATTCCTCCGCTCTTTCGATCTATTATTCATTTTTTTACTTAACGGATCGGCCAAGCTAAAATTTACTGCTTAGCTATTCGCAAGATATGACTACTTGATGGCACATGATCGATTGACTAATATGGTCACTGATCAATCAATTTGTGCGACAATTAAAGTAAATTATATAGGTGACATCTCGCAAGAAAAAAATTCTCTACTACTGTAGTTAACTATGTCCTTTACCGTAAATTACCTTGATAAGGTTAGCTTCAATAAATAGTAATAAGTTTTAAATATTTGTTTGATCCTCCGGATTTCATCTGAAAGTAATATATATATAGTTTGAAGGCTGGGAAAGTGCTTTGGATCCAAACTCACTCAGCCTTCTTGAAATGCTGGAATTTCGTAGAACAAAAAAGGATTTCTCTTTCGATAAGTGGACCGAGCACTTCACGATTTCCAAGTTCGTATCCTATGTTGCGAAACACACGACAAACGAAAAATGGAAGATAGTTTTTTCCGTCCTTAATGATAAAATGCTAAAGGCCAGTATCTGTTTACATTACGCTTAAGAGAAAGACGAAGTGGCGAGGGGATAGAGAAGGAGTTGGGCTACGTGCCAAAAACAACCATCTAAGCAACCCAGCTACGTGCCGGGCTTGGGAATGGAGTAATATCTCTTGATGGGCTTCATCTTAAATCTGCGTGAAGGCCAGAGGCTTATACGCCACAGTGCTAAGAACTAATACGTTCATTCGCAGTCCCTGGTGACCGGCTTTATCACTTCAGACTTTTGAGATTGTGTGAATTTAATCATTCTCTCTTACTTCTATAGACTCAAGCACAGGGTGAAGATGTGAAGTCGTTTTGGAGGAATATTGAAACCGAAAAAATAGAGTCAGAAAATAATTTATTGGAGGCGAAGATAAAGCAAGCTGAAGTATGTGCCCAGCATTAATGTTGTGATCGATATACAAGTATATAATATCAAATTTTGTGTTTTTTATGATTTGCAGGTTCAATTTTCTGTTGATCGCACTTTGACGGGGAATGAGGCTCATAGAATCTTCGACCAGAAAAAAATAGATTATGCAAATAAGAATAGTATCGGAGAAGACAAGGTAGTTGTATTTTTCCACAGCGTTAGTATATTAGCCTGCAATAAAAGTTCACTCTCACCTCTCGCATGTACACAGATAAGAACCGTTACATTAGAAGAAGAGTCCTCCACTAAGGGAAAAATGGATATGTCACTTGGACATAAGCGATCATACGATGAAGAATTACCATCAACTTCATCAAAAAAGGTTAGGACTCAGGATATAACTTAATTATTAGCCCGCAAGTTCTTCATCTCGTCTTTTTGCATACAGATCAGTTCTTTTGAAAACGAAGAAGAGTTAGCTGAAGAAGATATCACTCAAGAGGATGTGTTGAATTCTATTGCTGAAGTTTCTGATATCTTCGGGAAAACTAAATTCCCAACATACTATAACAAACTAAAGTCTATCTGGCATAATCGGGATGCTGAGACGAATTATTATGTTATTGATCTAGGAGATGAGGAAACACTAAATCAGGTTCACGATCATTTGAGCGATAATGAATTGAATTTTTTGTTTGAGAGGTTAAGATTAACAGATGAGGATGAATGTCTGAGTACGGAGGCGCGTAGATATATGACACTGTTTGATGAGATGATTGAGGAAGAGAGTTGTAATGACGGTAAGATAGAAGATGAGGAAAATTACACGACTGGTGGAAGAAACAGCGAAGAGTTTGAGAGAAAAGTCCATCAATTAGACAGTCTACCCAAAAAATTTCATTATCTATCTAACACCTTGCCTATCCCAGCGGAGAGTTATGATCAATCAGAAACGCCTGATGTTTTTGTTATCAAGAGCGTCTCTTGTCATATTGATACGAGCACGAAAATGAATGGATTAATGAAGAGTACTCCCGAGCGTACATGGACAGCCCATGTATTGGCGTATATATTTTTCGTTACATTTTGTTTCATCGATTCATTGCAGTATTTCTCGTGTGAACGAGATATTTCTACCAAGATCGATGCTCAAGATGATAGGTATAAAGCCGATGGTGTTTTAGAATTGTTTGAGCGACCAAGGCAAATACCATTATTTTTGCTCGAAGTGTCAGAAGGTCCCAATAATCCAGACCCAGATAAAATCAAAGGAGATAGAACGAAGCTGATGAACGAGGGTGTTTTTGCCCTTAACAAGTTTATGATTAGCACTGAGTTACCGGAATGGAAAGTGTGTGAGGCATTGGGTGTTTTCCTGGCCCAGGGATTTGGTAAAATTTTTGATCCTGTTGGTGTTTCTGTTTCTTTGCTTCGAATCTAATATATTTCTTGTTTGTTTGCTTGTAGCCGATAAAGTTGAAATCGGACAAATAATATTTATTGGGCCTGGTCTGTATCTTTTCTCGCCATTTACAGTTCCAGCTCTCACAATTCCAACTTCAAACACCAACCTAAAACATGCACCTCGACTCATCCGAACTCTCTTGTGTTTACGATACAATACTATCGAAAAGATTGAGAAGTTTAACGAACTTGAAAAGGAAGGTCAGCAACGTATTGTGAAGCCTATAACAAAGTATGCAACTGGAGTTACACCAGGACGATCTAGAGTTGTTACGTTTTCACAATTCCTACCAAAAATTTCAAGAGAGAGTAGTAAAGTGAGTAGAGGGAGGGGAAGGGGGAGAGGAAGAGGGAGAGGAAGAGGGAAAGATTAGTGTATTAGTAAAATTTTCAGTAATTCGCGATTTAAATTACATTAAGCATTGAAATTGAAGCAAGTTGTTTGTGCAATTAATAGTTTTTCGTAGTATATCTTTTTGTATTTTTTTCACACCATATTTGTAATAAACCATAAATAAAAAAATTTGCATTACACAGTGTACTGTCCGTTAAGTGTGAGTAGTCTTCAGATCGGGTTTAACCAACATGATGCAAGGAGTTAAAACCCAGTCTTGATAAGGAAGAGGCTCATACTCTTGTTAAAGATGAGGTTAGGAAACAAACCCCCGAAACAAAATTTTCTGATGAAGCTTTACGAAAGAGGGAAAGGGGCGAGAAGCTCTATAAGCTTTTTAGTGGCATTAGTAAATTGAAAATAGGACGAATTAAATCTTTTCTACAAGGTCTATTTTACATTTATCTGATAGTAATGTTGATCGTGTAATAGCTGGAGGGTTTGAGAGTTAGATCGTTACTGCATCACATTACTGCGCCTGGACACGCTTTTCATTTTTGCATAAATTAAATTAATTTACAATGCATATGAATAAAAAATTTAACCTGGGACGATTTTCTTATCTCCAGATTGATTTGAAAATCTTGTGACTTAAATTTCAGCCGGGGGGCCCCTGCCAAAATTATTCTAAAATTTTTTTTTATCTTTCACCTCGCAGTTCGAAGAACAATTTGATGAGCTCAGATACCGTGTCCATCAGATAGTCATATGCACAGTTATTTCAGGAGATAAATTTAACCTGAGCTTATATACGTGTCCATTAGAAAAATATAGGTTTCGGGAGATATATTTAACCGGATGCTGATCCAGCTTTTGACGAGCTCGGACAAGCTTGTCCAGACTCTACCATCAGAAAAATAATATATTTCATTTTATTCGTAATCATTTTCCAGTTATGCTTATCTGGCTAAAGAAAAAACCTGAAACCAGGTTGGCCGATCATCTCGTGATTTATGGAAACTCGCCAGCTCCTGGAACTCTCCTAGAACTATCGAGGGAACTAGGTGGAGATCACATGTGATACGATATACGTTATGCCACAAACTGATTTAGCCGAAAGCGTTGTGTATATGCATGTAAATATAAAATTAGCATAGCCGAGATATAACCCTATATAAATCTCCCGATATGCTTATAATCGAATAAAAATGAATTTGAGTTTAGCGATATGTAGTCTCACCAAATCGGCTACAAATCAATAAAACCGCTATAAATCATTAAAACTGCTTAACCAGCGAATCCGTATAAATTTGAATCTGATATTATTATAGTATAATATTGCTAAATCAGCTAAAATCGGCTATAAACTAACTATAAATCAATAAAATCGTTATATTCTAGCAAAACGCTATTATGGATTTAGATAGTAGAAGCTAAATCATGTAAGCTATGGTGATGAAAACTTTGAAAAATATGGAAGAATAGTTGATGCAATATGGCCTTTAAC